CTTTTCTTTTTTGTACTTCAAGTTTATGCGAAATATTCGATCACATTTTTCGACCATAAAATCTTTTAGCTCAATCTTGACGTAACAAATCCATACGGCGATAATGTAATGAAAAAGTCGTAATTTAGGAAATTACGGTTGAATTTGCCTGCATGTCATGACACAAGCAATTGTGATGAAAACATCATTAAAGAAGTCTTTAGTCGCAGCTGAGTATGCAATGAAGATTGGTCTGACAAAACACTTGGGTAAACTAACACAACTTTAAATTTAATAAAGATCATTACAAAGTCGCAAGGTCGATGTAATTGTTTTTAAATTTGTGCAGCCTCCGTAGGATAACAAACCATAATAAATGCTACGCTGCTGGTCCGAGATCTGACCATTTTTAAACCTCCATGGCTTCCTTAGGCACCGTTATACCACGTTATACGATGAATGGATGGGCACGATTGAATAGCTTGAGGCTCTACGCTATAGAACAAAAGGTTATAAGCATTGTTGTTACCCTTGCTTTTGCTGTCCTTAATGTTATGCAACATTGATAAAAACTCAAACAATTTTTACAATTGCAAGGAAGCCCTATAAAATAGGAAATGAAACTATTGCTTTTTTGATCTTAATGTTTTTTTCCGCCTTTCATAGGTGTTATCTTTCTATTTCAGAGCCAAGCTCTTGTCAGTGTAGCCTCCACCGCAACTCACGGTTCATAGCCAACTCTTTGACCTCCTTATAGCTGTTCAGTTTAATCTTGTTCTATTATTTGTTCACTATACGCCATTCTTGGTCTTCCTCTCTTTTTTTTCACTTCTATCTTCCCCTCAATATCATTCTCACAAATTCGCCATTACGTAATTTCACAGGCGTAAAGGACCCGAATAGTTGGTTTGGTAGTTTGTAAATATATTTCCTATGTTTAACAATCGTTAAAACCTAAGAGCTCGATAAGCCCTTTAAAATCTAAAGATTTTTGACGCAAACCGCTTGCGTCAGACAGTAGGTCAATTTGCACAATATCTCTGCAGGCGGAATAATTAGGCCTTAATAACTGGTATTCTCTAAACATTAATTGTGTTAGCAAACCAAATTGTCAGTCCATTGTGAACTTTAACACTCTAATATTATGATCATAATCCAAAACTTTAATAGGGGCCTCCCCGTACGTATCGTAATTTATACCTACTGTTTCATGTCGTGTAAGATTTAATGGATCAACAATTTTCATTGCCATTGCTCGTAAAATGAAATTGGATATTTCTCAGTAAAAAACATACAATGGCTTTTGCGGTATAATATCCAATTCTAAATTACTATTTTACTGCTAAATAACGTTTACGTACTTAAACCGAACGATGTGTTCTATTGTTTCATTTGTATTTCCGGTGGATTATTCATAACCGTAAATACAGACGGAATTGTAATTTAACCACATTTGCCAATCGGCGGTTTTATTATTGTAAACAATCACGTGTCACGAATAAATTGCCGGAATACGTGACCCAATTTCAACAAATCCCTTAAAAAATGGGAAGCAGTACATTAATAAACACAATCAATTAAAAACAATTCGATGTGTTCAAACGAGTTTGCTTTTTCACTTTGTTTGTCGAGCTGTGTCCATCCAGCACTGGCCTACTTACCAACGGACCTACATAATACTCCGTAACAATTGTGCCAGTATGCTGTGTTTACATGATGGTTGTAGATTACCATCCACCATTTAATTACAGCAACCTGCATGTGTGTTGAACTAAGAAGTGTTTGCTCAAATAAAAGTAGATTTAGGTAACAGTGTCTCTTGTGTTCAATGATAAGCAACAAAATAAATCTCTCGGCTCCATATTCCACATATGAAACCGAATTCTGTCGTAGCTCAAAAGCAATTTGAATTTCAAAAATATACTGAATGGATCTTATGGGATTAACATCGCAAATAATGTGATTGCTTTTATTTATACAAATACTTAATTATCCATTTATAAACGAGAATATACGGTTTCCTTAATTTTTTTATTTAAATCGTGTCCTCTCAATTACACAATTTTGAATTACGACAGTACCTAATTAGTTTCGTGTGCGATGTAGGAAAAAGTTCAAGGACTCTGTCATCAATACATGAAATCAGTAGCATTAGAGCTCCTTGTGAATGAGTTCGTCCAGGGAAATACTGCCACCTTACCTATATCTATAGTAAAGGTCACATTACCGCCACGCCGTAATGTGAGCTTTACTTCGCTTCGTTCCAGTTTTGAAGGGTAAGGGTGCTAGTGAAATTACAGGCACATGGGACTTGTCAACAAATGACGAGCGCATCGGTGCCGCGACTATATGCATGTGTGCTTACCACCAGGCGCACGTTTTATTCGTTCTGTCACTTAGTATTACAAAAAAAATCTAAGTAATCTTGACTTTATTTCTTTTTTTGGGAATAAAAATTGCCATAGCCAGTCTTTTCGGCTTGTGCGATTGAATCTGATCTGAACGTGTTTCACCCACGTCTTTACAGCTTTTGCGCACGATAACTGTCCAATGGTACCGTTGGACGAGCGAGGAAATTGCTACATATACATGTTGATTGTAATATGGATTAAAAGTTTAAAACTTCGCCGTTTAAAGAAGATTATTGTACATGGTCAAGTGCACGCCAAGCTTAACACTTAAGATTTAAAATCAATACTATGCCACTTGCTCTATGAACAGTCTAAAGTCCAAAGTGTCAAGCTTGATGTAGTCTTGGCTGTACATTTATATTTTGTAGTAGATGTACGTAGGCATATAATGACATAATCGTGATTCTGACCTGATTTGTGGTTGCGGTAAGGTAACTGATATATTTTTACCAGCTATGTGCGATGGAAATTGCAAATTGAGTGTCAAACAAGATAATTGTGAAGGGTTTGATTTAGTTCCGTGTCTTCTGTCTAGTCTTACATAGATGTTTCGGACTAAGAAATCAATAAAACCAAAATCTTAGCAGAAATGTAACCAGTGCGATGACGTCATCGTGCAAGATGGCCGCTTCCGATCATGTGTAGAGTTAGGTAAAGTGCAGTGACCTCAACCAATGTTAATGTCAGCTGTTAAACGGTTACCGTACACGCAAGAGAAATGTATTGACTGGTTTTATGGGTTGGGATGTTGGCTATTTACGCCAGTCGGTTTTAATGGTTTGTTGAGAGAGTTTACCCAAGCTTAAACAGGGAAGATAGTGTATAATGAACCCGTGTTGGTCGTAACAGCGTATGAACTTACTGTTTACTACACCGTAATAAATAATAAAACCCAGTAAACATGTTATTTGTTTGGTCATTAGTATTGGTATTTAACTGAATATAAACTGCTGACTTTTCTTAGTAATTTATTTGTTACTTCACTAACATTTTTTGTTGTATAATAATAAAATATTCGTGTGAATTTCCGAATCGTTCTTCATAAACGTGAAGTTAATATTGAATTCAACGTTCTTTGAATAGAAATTTGCGACTTTCATTACAATAGCGTGGAAAGTGAAGATGTGTTGCATCGTGTCCGTGAACAATCTTGGAAGCTGATCGGTAGTACTATTAAGCGGGAATTCGTACGAAACGGCGTTAAACGGGGAAGCATTGTTTGCCAGTTCGCCAGTCGCCGGTGAGCGGCGCCGGCGCAAGAGATGCAGTCAAGCGCACTTTATTATATTTTGAACACAATGCAGCACGGATGCTCTGCCGCTGAGAGCGTACAGTTGTGAACGAAAACACGTGCTTTGAAGAAATAAAAAATTGAAAAATGTTGGTCCCACAAATTTTGTACAAGTATACAACTTTAAAGAAAACATATTGTTTCAAAATTAATTCACTTGAATTGTTGCTATAACTTTACCAAAATATCTGTGAGTTATACTGAATAAAGTTATCATTAAGTATCTAACTCCACAGGGTCACTTTTGACAGGAACAGTTTTCTGAGCTCTATCGAACTGTATACTTGAAATTTTCATATCTGCGAAAATTATATCATTCAATGTGCTAGTGCGTTACGCTAATATAAACTATCTACATAATATAAATATTTTTTTGAATACAATAATCAATGTAGATTACTGGTAGTGGAACTATTTTTTCGGATCTAAAGTGCCTGTGATGATGTCAGTCATGACTATGACCATGGGACCTGTAAAGGCCCGAAACTTTGGTTTATTTGAAAATACAAATCGACTCATCCGTAGAACAAAGGTCTATGTGCAAGACTACTTGTTCTCAGAACATAGTACATTTCGTTCGTTCTTCTTCGGTGTGGATGTCAGATCGACTGTTGTTCGATTTTATATTTGCGTAACGAAATAAGATATATAAATTATCAAAACACCTATCCATATAGGCCTTAGTATGAATAATGAAATTATTCTCGTAACTTACGTATTCTCTTTTCGCTATATAATCACATCGGACTCTGTTCTTCGGATGAGTCGAAATATACGCCATTTAGATCAGAAAAATAGTTTAGTTTACTATGTGTAACAATCGCGAAAACCTAAGAACTCAAAATGTAGATTACTGTCTCACTTTTCTGCGTATTAGTCCAAATGCAACCTACAAGTTGAACCGTAGAAGGGAAGTCGTTACAGCAGTCACTGACAGTGTATCACAGTTACGCTACAAAGCCTCGGTTCTTTATCGCCACCATTGTATGTCAGTAGATGTGCTAACTACAGGTCTGCTCTCTAATAGTCTAACGCTAGTCTGCAGCGGAGCATACTCGAGTGACTTTCCGAGGAGAACAGCGAGATTTATTGCCTAAAACTGAAAACGAGAAAGACGTGATTTGCATTCATTGCATTAGCGACAATCACACAACTCTCCGATGAACAAAAATGCAAATCACAGTTATATCACGTGATATTTGCGTTTTTACATCTTTGCCGTATCGTACTTTAGATTTTAAATTTATCTAGCCAACACAATGACCAATCAGCGTAATACTTGTACTGTTTTCTCAAACCGTCTCTTTGTTTGATTCCAGGTAATAATACCATGAGGTGTCTGTGACCGCAAGAAAGGGCGTAAGCGGCGCCTGTGTATCCACAATGACGTCGGAGCGAGCCATACCACACCTTCGCGATATCTTTGGCCTGAACCAACAATACGATGCCAAGAATTACGATGATGTCGACGAAAAAACCAAAAAGACTGCCAAGAAGAAAAAAGATGACTACAGATCTTACGGTAATGGAGATGTAAAGACTTTAGAAAGACATCTTAGCATGAAAAAAACTATACGGAAAAAGATAATGCGCGACCTTCAACAAGCGTTCGTTGAAGACCCTAACGAGTTTAAGGTCGAGAACACGAGCCCTGAGAAGCTGAAGGCAGAACTTAGCGCGGAAGCTGTTAAAATCGAGAAGAATGTCCGGAAAAGCGATCCGACATTCTTGGATATGTTGCGAGGAGAGACGAGAGGCGAAGAGGCACGGGAAGAACAGCCGCCAGTGGAAAAGACAAGCTTCTGGCGGCGTCTCACCATGAAAAACAAAAACAAGAGATAAAGTCAATTAGCTGCCGTGAGAGCACGTTACTCCGTTTCTTTACCACCTATTGACTGTTTTAAACTGTTGCTAGGCCAAACCAGTGCACACTAGATGGTATTAGGTTCAATGCTGTATGGTCTCACAGCAAGCTATACAAACTATCACTTTTAAATCTGTAAATTTGGACGCTAAGGAAATGAGATAAGGTACAATTTTCAACAGTTTGTATTATAATACATATTGGCCCACCATACCTACTGGTAATTCAATTGAAGTACAAATGCGATAGTTTGTATTTAAGGTCGACCTTATTGCATTGATGCTTCTGCAAATGATCTCGACATTTAGCTTTCTGTAATTTCGTTATTATCATATCGTAAGTGGAAAGGTAAAATGTCTGTAGCTACATTTTGAGCGAAAACGAGTCATATAGTCATAATATCACAAGTTTTATGTGCATCATTCTGTCAAGTTCCATTGCGATTTGAGCGCTTTTCAAAGTAATCCTATAATTTTCCACTTTCTCGCGGTGCTTTTATATTTGTTATTTCATTGTATTTGCTCCTGTTGTATGTGGCACTTTAGACGTAATACCTTTCCACTGGCGGTATAAAATGTCTGCTCTAGAACTGACAAAGAAAAATTATTTTCAAGCAATTAGATAAATTTAAACTAATTAAATAAACTTTTTAGATTTATGGTACTTACTCAGTACAATTGTAATTATGTATTAGTAATTTTATTATGTATTACAATTTATTATAAATAATAATCGTGTATGTACTGATTGCAAGTTCCAACCACTGTTCTGTACCTACCTACTTTTTCTTGATAAAGTCATGGTTTAGGCAGAGTCAAAATAAATCGGACCAAGAAACATTTTACTAATATGTAAATAATATAATATATATGCTAATATATCTACGTATAATATATCTATGCTAAATTCATATCTACTTAATCTTTTTAAGGTGTTACATTGTTAAATAAATTTAATGTTGTCATTATATTCATGTTCACGAGTGGTGTGAAGACTATATACTTAATTTTTAAAAACTAGCTAATATGTTATTTTCTACGGGTGGGAACGGAGTAACGTGCACATACGTTCCTCGGCAAATGTTACTTATATATAAATAATCTCGATCTACATGTGATGTAATCTTAAGTCGTGTTAGTCTAAGAATAGGTTAAGAATTTCTTAAACAATTAATTGTGTAATGTAGATTCGTGGCAATTCCTTGTTGTGACAATTTATTATTATAATTATATTGCAATATACCTAAATAATTTTACACATTTAAATTGCCTGTTTTATTTATGTCCTGTACCCTAAAACAACAATGTGACGCAGACTGGAGAATATAGAGAATAAAATTGAACAATTTTAGGTGCAAGTAAAAGTTAAAACGTATTTCAAAATTTTATTATAGTAGCGACATCTAGTTCATTTCAACATGAATCAATTCATAAACTATCACTGAACAAACACACAATGCAAAAGTAACGAAATAGTTCCTATGACAAAATACAGATGGCAGGTAAAACAGTATTCACCACTGCCATCTAGCGAGTTCCAAGACAACTTAACTCAACGCCACGTAGCGCAACTTTTGTAAAAAAAAAACAGGGTCAACAGGGTTATCGTCATAAAGACAAAGAGATAACGAAATTAGAATAAGAAACGAACACCATAAAAAATTAGTTTTCATCTTATGGGACAAAAATACATGCTATGACAATTTTTGATTGACGTCTCCACAAAATATTTTTAAAACAACAAGGTTTTGCTATGTAAACAAATTTTCAGGTTTCTATGTATGATTTTCTTAAATAATTACTGTAACGATAAAATAAGAAATTACACATCTATGTATTTACAAAGAGCAACCCCTAGAATTTCGTAACTCATTCTTCTTTTGAATGCCTTACGAATGTATCGTCCTACTTCTCTTGGAAACGAATAATCCTGTCTATTCAATTTGAAGGTTCTAAGTTTGCCAATCTATGGAAAAAAAGATAATATCTTCTATAGGTGAGAAGTAAAGGACCATAAGTCCTTATTTTGGACCTCAGATGTTTTTACAAACATTCCTTTAGAATGCCAAAAATCACGCAATGCTAAAAGACGTAGAAGTCCTGTCGTCGTTTGTTTTTATTTAACATATTTAACGTTAAGTTTGACATCGAGATCTTAGGTTTACGCGATTGTTACACTAGGAAATGAAACTATTTTTTCGGATGCTTTCGGCCCGAAACAAATCAGTGTTTCGGGCCCCTTACAGATCCAATGGACACGGCTGACGGGGTTGGAGATCCATCTACAACCGTATACGCGATCCGAAAAAAGTAGTTTCATTTACTACATTCTTTTGCTACTTTCATTTCATTTTTTTTTTAATGCGTAGTTAAGAGCCTACTAATATGTAATAGCTCTGCATTACTAATATTTGGCACTACATATAGTCGTCACCAAATAAGAGGCTACATTATTTTGACAACTAAAGAAGGCGATAGATAACTTTAAATGCGATCAACGAAACAATAAACAAACAATTATTAGCATAATTGAGTTTAAAAAAATACATAAATTTTAATTCAACATTATATAATACGATAAAACATATTTGAAGTACTGTTTTCGCACGAGTTACAATAATATAAAATGCAATTTTGAGTTACTCCGAAACGTCCTCAAAACAGTTACATCCTAAAACTATTTTTTTTTAAATAATAGTGTTGTAAGCAATTAATCGTCGAATTTCACCGAGTCACTTCGATTTCTCGGAAAAAATATTGCATAGTAAATATTAAAACAAAAATATATAAAAATAGGTGTATTTTAAATAATCATGTATATAACATCTCTGACACACACCTATTGCAAACAAATTTATAATTTATCAAATTTATAAGAGCCCCGTACTCCTGGCCAGATTTGTATTTCCTTTTCTTTTTTGCAAATTTTGAATTGTCAACACTGATACCAATCTAGCGGCACCCGGAGTCCACGCCCGCGCACCGCGCAGACTTTCGCCATCCTGGAAGTTAACTGTGCGCTTCGCTAATCTAAACAATTACCAACTCTTAAAATTTTGAATCGATTTCTCGTGAAAATCGTATAATGTGATTACCGATATGATTAGTCCACATCCCTATTCGCGTCACGACGACAAGAGGCAAATGGCTTCTTCTTGGTGACGACTAGATTTCGTACCTACTAACATTTGTCTATATACATATATTGTTCTCCGTCCCTTTCAGGTAATTCAACAGCTCTGCAACTTTAAATAAGAAAAAATTTTCTATATCACATTGTGGTCTCACAATACCCATTGAATAGCAGAGTCTACAGAAGCCCTTAAAATTACTAAGCGGAAAACTCGATACTGGCGAAATCTAAAGGGTAGCGCCATTAAGTAAAAAGAAGAAGAGTTCTTACCTCTCACCTACAAATATACATATGTTGCTTTTTTAAAATTTCATTCTTTATACGGGATTGACTCTACATACTTCTTCTCACTGAATGTGACAAAAGTTATCACCACACTTAAATAACGAAGCGAAACGCTCAACGTTTTCTTTGGTATTATTGCATGGACTTAGAGCATTTTCACACTGGGTAAAGCCGATGCCGCATTTAATTACATAACGTACGATGTAACAAACACTATACATTTTAAAGTACTTCGAAAAAAAAACAATTAATATCAATCCGAATGAAGCCGATATCCAAAATCGACTGGTGGTCATAAATTATGATACCAAATAACTAAGTAAAATTAGTAGTACATAATTGTACGTACATAGATATCGTTGGACACAGTATAAAAAGTTGTTATTATAAATACTGTTACTATAATATCATTCCGATTACTTAGAACAGAATTGAAATAAGTTTACTGTGAAATTCAGAACAATTATCAGCATTTTCGATTTCAATAAACAAGAACCCAAAATAATCTGAAAACAATTTTGATACAATTAGATAACACTATTCAGAACAATAAACGTGCAAAAGAGAGACAGCTAGATACGAATCGCGCGCTTGTGGAAGTTTCTAGAAATCCCACAGTAATACCAACTTTGTCCTAAAATTTCCAACAAAATGTTTACACTTAACACAAACAGAACATTGAAACAAAAATAAAACGCACTAAAATATCTTACATTTTCGACACAAACCAAATATTATTTTCTTTCTAGACCACATAATTGTCTTGTACTTCTTATTGGAAATTAATAAAGAACGTCTATTTTCGTACAAAGTGTTATTTCAATGGATTATTCCACGGAAACATTCAAACTATTTGGAATTAATAATTGTATATTACATACTTATATAAATGTCATGAATGTAACAAAACTATGTGAATAGCAATAAACCGGCTTATGTAGTTTGTAATAACAATAATAAGTATGAATTTAAATTCTAATTTTGATGGAACATAGTAACAAATACTGTTTTTAATGTCAAGGAATTCTCAAACATAAGCTGTTGCAAATGTCACTACCAATAAACCTATATAGATTGCATCCCAGAGGTGTTCTTTCTTGCTACACTAACCGCAAACACAACATTGAATTTATTTCTAGAACTCCTTAAATTGTGTTTCAAATCGTAATGCTTGCAACACTTTGACATTTCGTTTTCTTTCTAACAATATCACTATCTTTGTCTTTCTTTTATACGATGTTAATGGCCAAACACCAGAAGCTTCCACTGTCGAACAGTTCTCATTGGCCAAACGCACCGCTTCGAGAATCATCTCGAACGTGATTCGTCGGCCGCCGGCGAGCATATAAAAGGCCG